GGTACCATTCATATAGTGAAATATAACAGCTCTAAACAAGTAAATCATATGTGCTACTATTTTGGTACCAATCCTCATTACAATCTGGAACACGCGTTCTAATTGTTTTATTCTCATGCCAAACGTGTTATTTTACAGTTCATCCACGTCTAAGCATGGTTTGCCTATTGGCGGCCATGATGGTCGAACGTAGTCTTGCTCATCAGCGGTATTCAATGGCACGGTGCCAAACTAATAGTAAATACTAAAATAGTGGCTTAACATACGGCGCATACAGATCATAATAAATAAATAAATGAATTGCAAACATGTCTGAATTCATAATTGTGAAATAACGATTTGGGTAACATAACACGTGACTGACGCGAACTTAAATTTTCTTACGCAACACGCTTTTAATATAGACATTATGTGTGACCCTACAATATAAAACGGATATGGGAACTGTCATTTGTTCAGAGACTTGGCGAGATAGCATTCCTAAGGCATATATAAGCTTTCCATCCACTGAAGTAGTACAAGATGAAGCAATACAAAAGGTGCTGATAAATAGATATGATAAATAATTTATGACAAATATATATATATATCACCAACATTTAAATCTTTGTGTAGAATCGAGTATTTCTGCCTCACATAATATATATAGTGGGTGCATTGATTTTTTTCTCAGACTGGGAACGGAAAAGCAACGATGCGTGGAGTTTTGATGCGAGAAACGTGATCTTGGCTGTAAGTAGCTTCCATATGTTTGATATCTGATGATAATTGAATATTTGTGTCTCAAACCAAATTATTCGCGTTCGCATTACCGTTTCTGAATAAATATTCTGCAACAAGCGATAATTTTAGAGTTCAGAACCATTATTTTTTAGTTGCGTTGTTTATAGCTAATGTGAACGAACTGTATGTATTCCCACTTCAGATCAATAATGATATTAAAACAAAATAATATTCACTATCTTACCGTCACAGTAACTGGCGATACAGCGTAAGAACCAATTATCAGCAGTGGCGTAAGTTGATTTAATGATCGGAAACGAAAGTGACTTTATAGGCAATACCTATTATGATTGACAGTTTTATGCCTATTGTCAAAAATGAGTAAAAAATCAAGTCATAGTATGTTTTGTTATTAACATCAAATTTGACATTGAATATTAATTACGATGTATAAACATGTACTCCATTTGTTCACAACGAGAAACAGGTTATGAATGTAAAAAAGGAACTCCTCGCATGTTATTTACAGATTCACACACGGAAATTTGATTTACAGTGCCAGTATCCAATCAGCGACATCATCACAGCTGATGAATTCCTGTAGTAAAAAGCATGCTGTTGCTGGTCATAATTTTCCACTGTAAATGTTTAAGCAGTAGTCCTGAAACAATAAATGGTGTGGTTGACAGGGTGATGCAGTGATGTTATCCAACTTGAGTGATCTAGCCTGTTGTCAATGGCAACAGATGGTTGACATTCGATAAATCTTTGTCGATTTGGAAATTGTGTTGAACTTGTTTTCTACTGTAAAGAATTTAAACAAGTGTATTTGTAGATGGCACCTCGGAAAAGAAAGTTGTTTTTCGGGTCACACCCTCACAACACATTAACACTCAGCTAGGAAAATGGTTATTGTAACTGTTAGTGATCTCTGCTATTAGTGGAATATGACGTCATTTCATACACATGATATAGTCATGTTCACGTTCATAATTACATGGGGAAATATAATGTAATTGAGGAATAGTTTTTTTACTGCGAGGATTACGCCAATGCATATTTTATGAATAGTTAACTTGTCAGCACGTTATTGACAGCATGCAGTCCATGCTCACCGTTGCTGAATGATAGACAGGCAATCAGTCATAAATAATACACAATCATTTATGAATGTAAATACAATCTGTTTGTGTGTTTTAAAGTTTCTCAAGTCTGAACATGAACATGTGTATCTCATTACAATCATCGTACATGGCAATCATTTACAAAATTAGCAACATTTAGAAAGAATTCCAGATGAAAAAAAGGATAATTTAAAATATAAGTGTATTCTCACAAAAAGATTGTTGGAAATTTGTCTAAACTGAGATGTAAATTGACGCATTAAGTCGAATTTGCTGAAATTATAAGCATCTATTTCAACATATGTTAAAATACACCAGTATATTTGATGACAGTTGTCTTAGTAACACTTCTGTAATCACATATGCTATACACGAAATCGAAGTCATTGTAGAAAAACACATTGTCTAAAAAGTCAGCTTGGTCTTGTTAACAGAATACACTGATCATGGATAGTAATTGCAATCCAATTTCATTCTCCATTGTACAAGTATCGTAAACTGTTTACAATCCTTATTTTCTGCTAAAGTAATCTAATATACATATGCAAAGTACATTAAGTATTCGTTTATAATAATAATAGTATTTTATTTATTAGTATATATGGAATGAATATTGTAAATAATCTCATAATGTAAATGACAGCAGAATTGCTAGATTGACAGGAATATAAACAAAACACCGGAAATATTATATGTTAACATGTCATATATTTCAAAAAGATTGTCACATTATTTAACAAAGCCATATATCCAATTTATCGTTGTTAAAGAATATAGCTTACGATTGACATATTCTTTGTTCTGATGATCCAATTATATTTATTTATACACATTTTTGTACTTACGTGCCATTATTGGCTTTGGGTTCAGCTAATATCAACACATATGGTTATATTATTATTTTTATCAGATTGAATGATAGAGTCGAGCAGTGTGTGACGGGCTTTAGATGCATTGCTATGTCACTTTGAGAGATTTGAAGTTTGATATCAATATGATTCAGATATCCTAACCACCAAAATAAATAATATTTTCATTAAAGCATTTCACAATTGTATACGAATGAAGCTTTGGCCTAAGTGAATCTTTGTCACATCGACTGTTAAAAACTATTTTTTAATAAAAAAAAATGTTTAAGCAGGCGAACGGTTAATTGGGATATGACACACTGTTATTTGTTGAAGATCCTTGGAGAATATACAATTTGTTTAATTTAAGGTAGCGAGAAGGAACATTTAAATTTTTTGTTGATTTTTCAAAAATTTCTAAAACGGTTACTTCAGACCCTAATACATCATCTTGGCTTTTTAAAAGATCGGAATTTCGGAAAGATCGAAATTAATTAGTGTTAATAACTACTGCCGTTTCGTGGATATTTACATAATGTTTGTCATTGGAACAGTTTAAATGATAACATCTTATCTGTATACTCTGTTGTTGACGGTTCTGATATAACTGGTGATAAGTTTCCTGTCGCAGACAATGGTGTTTATCTAACGGCCATTGTCAGCATTATTGTCAGTCAAGACTTCGTCGAAGAAACATGGTCATAACTTTGCGCAACCTTTTTTAAATCGTTTTATTTTCCAAGTCAATATTTTAATTTACTGAAACCATTTTACGAACGCAATGACGAGACAAAGAAAAATCTGCCACTTAGTAACGCGGGGTCATATTATGACCAGCCTAGCGAGTGGTTCGCAGGCCCGTAGCCAGCACTTTTGAATAGGGGGTTCGAAAACAACAATAAATGATATATTTATTTATAATATTCAAAAAGTGTTGTTGAGCTCTGTTACATACATTTTTATATTCTCGGTTTTAAATTCAATTGGTTTACTTTGTGTTACGTTGGTAAGTTATTCCACATAACATTTTTGAACTATTTTACCATTTTAGAGAAGGGGTCCTAGGCCATTCCCCACCCACAAACACACCCACACCCTTGATCCATTACGGCAAAATGCTGTACACAAAAAAGACAAGACTGTATGTATCTTAGCATTATTGTCCAAGCATTTTAAGGTAGAATGCTACTCACGAACTTTTTCGCTCTTCACAGATGTTAGCGCACATAAAAGTGACACCATTATTTATTTTAGTATTAGTCAATTATGTAATTTTATTTCTGTACAGAGCCTCACCACATCGTACAAAATGTAATGGGTGGAAAAGTGCATATCACGTTTTAAAAACAATACAACATCTGATGAACT